TGTATAAATGCGCGGCATTACGCAACCACGTTCCAGGGTGAGCCGGCTGCAGTTCCGTTGACCTCGGTAGAGGGCCAAATCAAAGTGGTCGTCGTCATGTTAAGCAAGACTAGCAATAAAAAATTATTGCTAAGGCGACGGTTGAATGATCATAATTTTATGTTGTGGAGCCAGTAATCTCCAGTACATATACTGAATGAATGGACCCGTCATTTTTTCCGCAGGGTTCCCGAATTTGGAGGAAAGGCTTGCTTTTAAATTGCGCGGCGGACATGTGACGATGATGTGTCCATAGCGGTAAGGGGATTTACGTTTGATTCAGGGTTCGGAGAAGTTTTCCGTTTGTTTACAATGCCGCTAGTTTTCTACTTTCCAATTTCAGATCCATTGTATTCCGAAACTGATTTATTTCATCCTGCAAAATTGCAGATTTTTAATTTCTCTGCAGTCATAGAATTACCTCTGCAAAGTGCACACTGCAGGCATACATTTCGACCATTGAAGCCTCCATAAAAGTGAAAATGGGTATGGGAGTTAATTTAAGTTTTGAACTCCTGACCCCATCGGTCAGCTCCTTGGTTTCTATTAGAAGCCTGCTGGGTCAGCGTACCTGACACAGACGCCTGGCTCAGCGGAAAATTCCTCCATATGTCCAGTAGTTTCGCTGATGCCGACATCGCTAGCGGGAGCAGCGGGCGTACGTGGAAGCGGGGCAGCCCGGCCTGGATCTGGGAGCAGCGGGCGTACTAAAGACAGAATAGTATGTTGTGTGAGAAGGGGCGTGATCGAGGCGTTTTTACTCGGGGTAACCTCGAATGAATAAACGCAAAGCTATTTTTTTAGTTTCAATGTCGAACGTTCAACCTTGGCGTTCAACAAATAACGTTTAGAACAGGTCGCTTTGGTACGAGAGTTTGGGCCCAGATGTTCATAAAGTTTAATTTATCGTACTGCATACTTTCGAGACAACATGGCCGTTTTGCCTACTCTTCACTAAGTACCTGTAAAGATTGTGCAACCATCTTGAAGTAAAACATGGTGGTCACAAGTCAACATTAGTGTCAAAATGTTTACTACTACGAACTAGCTTGAAGTAACACAGGATCGTCTAATTGTAAAACTTACACATGAACACCAGTAAAATTGCATACAGAAACTATACTGTGTATCTTTATTTGAATTATGATAGTATTCCTTGCAGTTAGTTCAGATATTTTCAGCCGTAAATGATTCATTATACTTTCGAGGGTCTCCGTAGGGGTGCGAGACCTCCGTAACGATAGCTGGAGGGTTTACAAGGGGTTTACGACAGCATATTGAGGTTATTCTTTGGACAGTCGAGGGCGTCTGGATGAAATTTCAGCAGTCTTGTGACTAAAACTGCTACCTTAGATTTTTCGGTTAGTCTTACTAAAACGTATGAAACAACAAGTCACACGGCAAACAGGTCCCGAGTTAGGGTCCTGGTAAGCCACCGATCTTGTGCCCTTGGGAAAGGCACTCAACACAAGTTTCCTCACTTTACACGGACAACGAGTATGTCTGTTGTCCGTACGTGTGTCTGCATTTGTGGCGCCATGAACGAATTTGAAAAAAAAAAAAAAAAAAAACTGAGTGTGCCGTCGCCATGTCTTGTGATACACGGCAAACGTGGTCACGCTAAGGATCAAGGGAGGTCATGCGTGTGTAGACAGTAGACAGTAGACAGACGCTGTCATCAGCTCTGGGCGTCCGTACCCTGTTCGACTGGTAGGGAGAGATTTATGTGACACTTCGTGTCGGTTGATAACATTTACAGACACCGCGGCGTCTTTTCTAAAGGTAAGTAAAGCGATTGAAGAAAATGCTGTCTTCTCTAACAATGGACTTCGACTCGTTATCCCCTCAGCCTTCAAACATTTCTTTAGCCCTTTGAAGCCAGAATGGTATGTTGTGTGAGAAGGGGGCGTGATCGAATTAGTCAGCCGAGAATGGCCTTTTTGGTTTCTCTTTGTTGAAGCGTTTAGTTTTGGCGTCCTAAGTGATCACTTTTAGAACATGTCCCTTCGATAGGACTCCATAAATATCAGAAGTACGTACAACCTTCTACAAAGGCTGTCTGTTTTGTCTACTGGCCACTGTATACCTGTATAGGTTGTGCAACTATCTTGAAGTAACATATGGATCATTATTGCAAAACGTATACGTTAAAACTGGTGTTAGAACGTTCACCACTATGAACTAAATATCCTGAAGTATATAAACACAGCCTGGAGGTAGAATATTGCAAACTCACTCGTGAACACTGGTGTTACTACGCTTACAGTAGATGTAGTGACTCCAGTCTCGAGACATCTGTGTGCGATGTTCGCTGGATGTGTCAGCCTGTGATGTGTGGCACAGCATACTGTATTAACGTCACTGTTTCTGTACATACAACACCATGGCCAGTCCTTATCCCTGTACTTGACCAGTAATTCTCAGGGCTGAAATTGGTTTGGACTTAATCATCACTGCATTGTTGTTAAATAAATACTTCTGCGTCACGAAATCTGCCAAATACCAAGGTCTCACAGAATGCAAAGGTCAACGCCTGATATATACACTGCACGAAAAGTTGGATTTACCAAAGGTTGTAAACTCAGGTAATGTTTACTATGTACACAATATCTGGCTTTACAATGGTAGTAAATAAAGGTCAATTGCAGTAATTTCCTTTACAACCGTTAAAAGTCCGGTATTATTGTACTTGACTTTTATTTACTGACATTGTAAAGTTCAGAAGTGTTTATTAAGAAAAAAACAAAGTAAACATTACCAAATTATACTGGCCCGGTAAATCTACGTTTTCGTGCAGTGATAGATATGCACTGAAGCCTGCAGTTTAACTAGGGTTGCGAACTCAAAAGCGCGGCGTCTGTGACAACCGTACTGTAGAGAACAATGCCGTGTGACGGTTACTCACTAATCTCACAGTGCTTCCGGGCTTTGACAGAAAAACAAGATCATTATTCATTCATACATGGTTGTATTCTCCACACCTCCGTCTTCTTTTCTGAGATTTGCAGGTACGATATGGTATTGTGACAGTTCTAGATCTATTGGGTCCCTAAATTGTTGTTAGGTAACGTGTTGCCTTGTATGTATCGTTGTGGTAGACTAAGTGTAATTGTGACCTGTAGTAAATAAACGTTAACGTTTTCGGTGTGGGGAGGGGCAGATATATAACAGGGTTCGAATTCGGTACCGTCCTAATAGAATTTCGGTAGGGTTTTAAAATCATTGTTTGGAAAATATGCATGGCTAGAAGAAGTAGATATTGACTAAACCTTTAGGGGTAATATATTACAGGATTCAGACTTGTTTTTCGTAGGTTCACAGTTAGATATATTGTAAAGTAAACAAAAGGCATGCGGAACAGTTGCCGAACTTTGGACCCCACACACACACATTAACGGTTGACCTGCATAACCTGGTGTGTTGAGGTGTGTGTGTGTGTATTTATGTGTGTGTGTGTGTGTGTGTGTGTATGTATGTTTATTATTTGTGTGTGTTTATGTGTGTCTGTATGTGTGTGTGTGTGTGTGTGTGTGTGTGTGTGTGTGTGTGTGGTGTTGTGTGTGTGTGTGTGTGTGTGTCTGTGTCTGTGTGTGTGTCACACACTGTGTGTGTGTGTATGTTTGTGGGGCGTGTATTTGTGTGTGTATTTGTGTGTGCATTTGTGTGTGTATTTGTGTGTGTGTTTGAGTGAGTGAGACAAATGTCAAAGACTTTGTAAGTCTGAAGAGCTAAAAATATAATCATTCGAGTGCATGTAAAACAATACATTTCACATAAAAGGACAAAATTCAGAATACTAACTTACTTATCAGGCTTGTTAACGCTATGGTTACCTCCGTGAAATGTAATGGAAGTTATATTTTCTATTTGTCATTCTGTCTGTTGGTCAACAAGATAATTAAAGAACGGCTGGATAGATTGGTGTATACTTTCTGCCTTGGTAGGTTGTGATGGAAACTCGGACTTATATGCAATTTTTGGCCCCCCAGTGGCTTTCCTTAGTACTGCAGCGAAACATACGGTTTTGATATCTCATGATCTGGACATGCTTGGATGGCAGGTAGCTCTTGTGCTCGGGAAGATGTCACGTGAGTTGAGGCACCCTAACATTGTTCTGGAACTGCAGGATGGTTCAAGAGAGGATTACTTAAAGAACTGGTTAATGAATCGTCTCGATTTTTTATATGTAGGTAGCTTAAGTGATGCTTCACATAAATAATAATTAAAATTACAATTATGCAAACCGGGATCTACCGGGATAAAATTCTGTAAATCTGCTACGTTAGATACTAGGGATATATAACACTTATGACATAATTTGCATAATTGATGAAATTGCTACAATTTTAATAGTGGTAACTGCTGTGAAATTAATACCTGTCATATTTGGAAGTTAAACATCACTAAACGTAATATATCTAAATCAGGATCATTTCCATAATTTATGAGGACATGCTAGAATAGCCTTCTTTGTTAAGATATGACTGTCATTGGGTGGAGAATAAGTTAACTGATAAAATTAATGCAAATGAGGCTAATATAACTTGTATAATCACTGAGAAAAAATATACAATCAGTCAGTTTGAACGGTTAACATGATTTGGCGAAGGTATGAGATCGTGGAATTCTTGTTGTGTATGAAACCTGAAAATTAGTCTCTAACTTGCATATATCCAACATTATCATACCTTGTACATACCAAACGGTACGTATTTCACCAGTGTGTTGCATGTTACTAGGTAGAGGCCATATTTTATTTAAAATTTTGCTAATGAGTAGAAATGTAGGCCATTTATAGGTGGTCATCAACACGAAAAAAATTACAAAAACACTAAACATTTCTTTGAGGTATGGAGGCGTAACACACCAGCTAAAACACGCGTCATTGATATATTTCGTACTAAATTTCACACTTAATTTGTTTCTGTTATTCTGTATGTTCACTGAACCAAAGTATGGGGATGGGTGAGCTGAAAGGTCAGGTTGGCTTCATGGCTGCCATGCTGGTCAACACCATCCTGTTTTCCACCATGTCACAGGCAAATGGAGGTAGGAATGATTCACAGTCTCTTGGCTTTCACGAAGAGCATGCATAGAGATGCTAGCTAAGTAGGGTAAATGGAGTCTGTTTGACTGACTCGATCTAATAGGGGAAGCACAACTAGGAGGACTAAGATTTCTAAGATTCAGACGTGCATCGCTCACTTAAAAAATAAGTGAAAGAAACGTGTAAAACCCAGATGAGATGACATTGGCTGGTAAGGTTTCAGGAAATAAGTCATTAGGCCACAGTAAGTAATTTGTGGATGACTTTTTGGATGCTGATGTTCATCTGATACGATTGTTCGAGTTTGACCGCAAATGTTGACACTGACATGTTCCAACGCATCCAATCCAACCCAGTATTATACCCCATGGTACGGCTAGCTTTGTTAAAAAAACCGTTGCGTAGCGGAACTGGAAGAGTTATCACTGGGACGCGCCTCTGTACGACATTGGGATCACTTAAGCTAGTAATTATAACTGTCTATATGTCTATATGTGATGCTTTCTGTATGTAATGACTCGGTGATCTCCATTCTCCCTCCATGTTGCCAGCCCTCTACACGCAGCCGAAGTCAAAATGCAGCCAACGTCATGGTATGTAAACCAACTAAATAAATCTTCACTTATTTGCATATCAATCAATAGTTAGTGCTTATAAACAATATCCTGCAGTCTCTTAGTGTCACAGACGAAAGGTAATGAATCGCTATCTTAAACGTCTGACCGTTTCCAAAATCATTTTCAGTTGCTTGAGTAACTGTTTTTTGAAACTACATTTCAGTTTTAGGGTAGGCTTCTAGTTACTTCAATTTCTGTTTCGCAGTTGTGCCTTTGATGTCTATTTTTCATTTACATTACAAACCTCGACTCGTTGTGTTGTGTTGTGATGTGTGCGTATGTGCTTATTGTCTTACTGCAGACGACCCGGCTCCTAAACACGAATGTTCCACGCGCTGTTCCCGCATAACCAGCTCCTGTGACAACTTCTTCATTGGCGACTCCTGGCCAAAAAGCAGCTTCCAATCTTCGGAATCTACCTGCCGGATCTGCCACACTCTGGCGGGGGAGAAGACGCTAGTTTTCGCCACGGCCTTCAACACGCACTACCGCATCCCTGAGTACACGGCGTCCGCCATCACACGTGACCCGGACGTACCGGAACAGGACAGGCCGTCATCGAGCCTGTGGGACAGAGTTCAACTCGGTAATTCTCATGAGACATTTATACCCTCAAAGTAGTCGTAAGTAGGAAAGACTGTAACTTCTCTATAATATTTCTGTCGCCACTCACTAAGATGATGGGAATTTAGCCAACTTTGTACGGAGAATGATGATGATGATGTATGGAGAATAGACATTTAGACCTATCATCACACATGATGATGATGATGTATGGAGGATAGACATTTAGACCTATCATCACACATAATGATGATGATGTATGGAGGATAGGCATTTAGACCTATCATCACACATGATGATGATGATGTATGGAGGATAGGCATTTAGACCTATCATCATTCATGATGATGATGATGATGTATGGAGGATAGGCATTTAGACCTATCATCATTCATGATGATGATGATGTATGGAGGATAGGCATTTAGACCTACAGTATCATCATTCATGATGATGATGATGTATGGAGGATAGGCATTTAGACCTACAGTATCATCATTCATGATGATGATGATGTATGGAGGATAGGCATTTAGACCTATCATCACACATGATGATGATGATGTATGGAGGATAGATCTAGACATTTAGACCTATCATCATTCATGATAATGATGATGTATGGAGGATAGGCATTTAGACCTATCATCATTCATGATGATTATGATGTATGGAGGATAGGCATTTAGACCTATCATCACACATGATGATGATGATGTATGGAGGATAGGCATTTAGACATATCATCACACATGATGATGATGATGTATGGAGGATAGGCATTTAGACCTATCATCATTCATGGTCTTCTTTCCCGGTCCACTGAACATTCTTCTCTGTTAATCTAACAGGACTGTGTGGAAAGGAAGTTCACAGCGCCATCAGTGACAAGTGTAAAGGACTTCAGACGGAGAGTTGGGGTGTGACCCGGATGTCGGACATCTGGAAGGCGACGGAAACTCGCTGCCGCCTCAGCGACCCCAGCTTTGACGACCTGCAGCAGAGCTACTGTGGCGACTGCCAGGGACTGGACAGCGACTATTCCGGCTGTGGAAACACCTACAACCGGGGCCACATCAACCCGAACGCCATTAACGACAAAGATGCAGACGTGCAGAATGGAACCTTCAGTATGATCAACGTAGCTCCGCAGGTCAGTGACAGAGACTACTCTCTCAGATCTACACTATATTGAACATTACTCCTATAAAAGAAAACGTAATTTGTTTTGTTAGTGCTCTCTGTTGAGTATTGGAATGGGTCTTTCGCAGCTTTGGCTTTAACTCAAGATCACATTGCTGCATTAGTAGTTTGGCGTGTCGTTCGATGGAAGCGCGAGATGCACGTCGAAGTTTTATGCTGTAGAATTTGTTTTTTTTTTTTGTAATATTGGTTTTCCATTCAGATATTTGTTTGTGATTTGTGCCAGCCGTTTACGCTCAGGGTAGTAGCGTCATGATTGACGGCCAAACAGTTGTCTATGTTTAAAGAATTCCAATGCATTTCTAATTAGAAAAATCTGTCTGATATTGACATTTCGTGTCATGATTGCACATTTTGTCATCATTTTACACTTTAAGCGTTTTTTTCGGCTTGTATCAAGTTGTTTTAATTTTGTCGGCGCGATGCTATTTCTTCTACTCTGCCAAAAGTGTTTAACTTCTTTACAATGTTTAGTGTCCCGTGGTCTTGTCATACATGTAGTTGTAACGGGAGCCACTCTACTTTTTTTACTATAGGACGACGACTTTAACCAGTGTGTGTGGCAACCGTACGAATGTGCAGTTGGCAGGAAAGCAGACCAAGTCTACCAGAACGCGGAGAAAGCCGGTTCCAACAGCAAAACCCTCTACATGATCACGGGCACAAAGTTGGGCGGACAAACCACGTGGATGAAAGGACGGGTGGCCATTCCTGGGTACTTCTGGAAGGCGTTGTGCTACCCTGGGGACGAGAAGGCCGGCCTTCGTCCCTTCGGAGTCGGCTTCTACGGCCGAAACATCGACTGTTCCACCATGACGTCACTTCCGCTAGACGAGTTCGAGGCCTGGCTGTACGATGGAGCGGATGAGCATCTCTTTCCCGGTTCAGTGTGTGCCGGACCGGTAGATAACTGGGACGGTTTGGATGCCCACGTAGCCGAGATAGCTCACGACTGTAGGAATGAACACCTCCAGGAATCGTGTGAGAGCTCCTGGCGTGACGAACGCTGCAGCACCACCCTAGCCGTGGAACTACAACAGTTAAAGGTGGAGCTGGAGTCAGCCGTGACCAGGGTATGTGGATTCACTACTTGCAGTATGCGGTGCGATTTTTCTTATTTTATTACATTTGTCTTTTATAATTCAAGCATGACCCTTCTTTTAGAATCAATGTAATAATATAAAAACACATTCAGGGCACTTGTGATGGCTCGTCATGTGACAAACTCTTAGCCGAGGAGCAGGCACAACCAGCGATTAAAAAGCAGGCAGAATGCAGCCGTAGCCAAGGTATGTGAACGTGCTATATTGTGACGTAGTTAGTGCATCTTTTCTTAGCTCACTATGCAATTCATTGGTCCCAGTTTGACTGTATTTAAAGTATACATTTCGACATTATGTGACAGGGCTGTTATCATGCGCGTCCGTGTCTATATGTGACTCCTGCCAATCACACAACACTTTCCTACCTAAGTATTTCCAATAAGAGCTAATGACATGTAAATTTCCATGTACACTTTTTAGACAGCCCGGCTCCTCAACACGAATGTTCCACGCGCTGTTCCCGCCTCACCAGCTCCTGTGACAACTTCTTCATTGGCGACTCCTGGCCAAAAAGCAGCTTCCAATCTTCCGAGTCCACCTGCCGAATCTGCCACACTCTGGCGGGGGAGAAGACGTTAGTTTTCGCCACGGCCTTCAACACGCACTACCGCATCCCTGAGTACACGGCGTCCGCCATCACACGTGACCCGGACGTACCGGAACAGGACAGGCCGTCATCGAGCCTGTGGGACAGAGTTCAACTCGGTAATTCTCATGAGACATTTATACTCTCAAAGTAGTCGTCAGTAGGAAAGATTGTAACTTCTCTATAATATTTCTGTCGCCACAAACTAAGATGATGGGAATTTAGCCAACTTTGTACGGAGAATGATGATGATGATGTATGGAGAATAGACATTTAGACCTATCATCACACATGATGATGATGATGTATGGAGGATAGATCTAGACATTTAGACCTATCATCATTCATGATGATGATGATGTACGGAGGATAGGAATTTAGACCTACCATCATTCATGATGATGATGATGTATGGAGGATAGGCATTTAGACCTATCATCATTCATGATGATGATGATGTATGGAGGATAGGCATTTTGACCTATCATCATTCATGATGATGATGATGTATGGAGGATAGGCATTTAGACCTATCACCATTCATGATGATGATGATGTATGGAGGATAGGCATTTAGACCTATCATCATTCATGGTCTTCTTTCCCAGTCCACTGAATCATCTTCTTCGTTAATCTAACAGGACTGTGTGGAAAGGAAGTTCACAGCGCCATCAGTGACAAGTGTAAAGGACTTCAGACGGAGAGTTGGGGTGTGACCCGGATGTCGGACATCTGGAAGGCTTCCGAAACTCACTGCCGCCTCAGCAACCCCAGCTTTGACGACCTGCAGCAGAGCTACTGTGGCGACTGCCAGGGACTAGACAGCGACTATTCCGGCTGTGGAAACACCTACAACCGGGGCCACATCAACCCGAACGCCATTAACGACAAAGATGCAGACGTCCAGAATGGAACCTTCAGTATGATCAACGTGGCTCCGCAGGTCAGTGACAGAGACTGCTCTCTCCGATCTACACTATATTGAACATTACTCCTACAAAAGTAATTTGTTTTGTTACTCTGTGAGGAGATCCGTGTCCTCCGTTGAGTTTCGGAATGCCTCTTTCCCAGCTTTGGCTTTATTTAACTCACGATCGCATTATATTGCTACATCAATAGTTTGGCATTTCGTCCGCTTGTAAGCGCGAGATGCACGATGTATTTTTATGCCGTAGAATTTTTTATAGCTCAATATTTTAGAAAAAGCCCTATTTTGATGGACTTGTGGAACAGGTCATTGATTTTATCGTCCTTTGTGGGTGTACGATAATAGAATAGTGGTTTTCCATTTAGATATTGGATGATTTTTGCCAGCTATTGAATTCATGGTAGGGTCAAGGTGGACGTACAAACAGCTATCGATGTTTAAAACCATCCAATGTAATTTTGATAAGAAAATCTGTCTACATGATGGTGACATTTTCTGCCAAAATAGCACATTATCGTCACCATATAGAATAGAAGCGATTGTTCTGCTTGTATCAAGTTGTTTTAATTTTATCGGCATGATGCACCTTTGTCCACTCTGCCAAAAGAGTCACTTCTTTACAGAGTTTTGTGTCCCATAGACTCTTGTTATACATGTAGTTGTAACGGGAGCCACTCTATATTTTCCTATAGGACGACGACTTTAACCAGTGTGTGTGGCAACCGTACGAATGTGCAGTTGGCAGGAAAGCAGACCAAGTCTACCAGAACGCGGAGAAAGCCGGTTCCAACAGCAAAACCCTCTACATCATCACGGGCACGAAGTTGGGCGGACAAACCACGTGGATGAAAGGACGGGTGGCCATTCCTGGGTACTTCTGGAAGGCGCTGTGCTACCCTGGGGACGAGAAGGTCGGCCTTCGTCCCTTCGGAGTCGGGTTCTACGGCCGGAACATCGACTGTTCCACCATGACGTCACTTCCGCTAGACAAGTTCGAGGCCTGGCTGTACGATGGAGCGGATGAGCATCTCTTTCCCGGGTCAGTGTGTGCCGGACCGGTAGATAACTGGGAAGGTTTGGATGCTTACGTAGCCGAGATAGCTCACGACTGTAGGAATGAACACCTCCAGGAAGATTGTGAGAGCTCCTGGCGTGACGTACGCTGTGGTACCAGTGGTTGAGCTCACAGTTGAGCTTAAAACTAATCGCGTTGCAAGCCAAAAGGTCAGATCAACCGTCTTTTGATCCGATTACAGTTTCGAGTAGACGAAACAGAAACACCAGCTAAGTCATCAAAATAAATCTTCCTTATAAACCATTTGAATTTGAAATTTTCGCAGTAGTAAAAACCCTATGATAGGATAGATGGCAGATTTAATTGAGAATCTATTAATAACAGGAAAGATTTAAACTGGTACAAAGGACTTGCTAAGGTGAAAGCATAGAAACTTTCAGACGGCATCCATCATCTTTATTTACCTAGCTGATGAGGGGAACCACGTGGCTAGTAGATCGACGGATCAACACAGGTCACATCAGCATTTTAATTATCTTCGTTAGAAGGTTATTTTTCAAGTGCACAATAGATTAGGGGTTGCTGATTTTGTAATCGGTTATATCTTTGGTTGTGGTACATTTATTTTCATGATATTTGGTAGGTAGTATGGGATTGGGGAAAGAAAGGTCAATGTGAATTTAGGGTACTCTAGAGATTTGTAAAGTAGTGCGGCGGGTACATGGGTATACTATCTTGTACAGTGGACATGTTATGGTCTATGGTAGATATTTTTGGGCAGTAAGTGGTTTCAGCGAAATAGCTAGTTTTTGAGCTGCTGTGGTCATTTTTATGACGGAATGTGACTAGATGTGATAAATTTTGATGTTGTAGAATCTGATGTTTTTTTTACAGTTTTTGTAGGCAGCTTGTATGTGTGGAAGAAGAATGTTAAGTTCGAATTTGGGCATACTAGTGGCTTTCTAATATATTTCAGCGGCACTTTTATGTTTGACATGTAGCTTAGAATGTAGATCAAGTAAGATTAAGGTATTGGAAGTATTTTAAACATAATTATGTTCACAGTCTGGGGTAACGAATGTTTATAAGGTTGTGGACAATACTAGATCATGAATACAGGTTCACAGGGGGGGGGGGTGTTTTTTTTTAGTAACAAATGTTTATAAGGTTGTTGACAATACTAGGATACGCTGGGATAGGTTTTGTTTGCGGTATTTTGCTATTGACTTGCTAAGTGTTCTTTTTTTTAAGCTGAAGTCATGTTTATAGTGAATATGTAGGGTTGATTAGGTCACAATAAACATCTGACTATGTCGGAAAATTTCCGTTCTTGAGTCACGTGTTTTTCTGTACTCCGACTTATGTATCACACGCAATCTTTTGGTCACAAACCAGCAAAATGAAAGTCAAACTATACACAGCTGCACATTCCTGACAACCCAAACTAATCCGTGACGAACGGTATGAAGTCATTGACCTCTTGTTTGTATTTTTTTAAATGTTTTTCTGTACTAGAAACTACCTGGAGGCCTTGCAACAGTAAACAATGCACAAAAAACGGCATATGGAAACATTGTAAAAATGATAATGCATAATTATCATATTGCATTTAACCCTACCTAGACCGGGCTTTTTTGACATGGGGGGACCGGGGGGGGCTCTTTTGACCCCCCCTAAGAACTCGCGAACGGTATGTCATATGACCACCAAAGTTTCAGAGAATGGTGTACTAGTGAAAATTTATCATATCTACAATTTTTAAGTCGTTATGACGTAATATGACGTCATTATGACGTCATTAATGTGATTTTATTGGCC